TGGCCTTCCAGGCCCTCTTCTCCCAGCCCCACCCTGGCCACTCGGCCTCCCTCTTCCATCACCACCCTCCACGTGTGACCCCTGCACCAGCCATGTCCCTCGGCCGTCGCTCCGTGGACACATCTCTGCTTATGGCATTTCTCCTGTCAGGAACCGCCCCCCCCCCCATGTCTAATCCCTCTGGTTCCTTCAAGGACCCCTCAGCTCCCTTTCTGGATTCTGTAACATGTTATTTCAGTGTTTGCTTCCTGATCTTTAAACTCTGCCCCCTCTGTCCACACACGAATGGAGCCTTACTCACGTGTGGGTCCCTAGTGCTGAGCAACACGTCCTGGAGACAGACCACACTCGTCAGTGCCCAACCGCCATCCGAGAGTGAGTCCGGGAGGTCGGCAGCTACGGCGGCCCGGGAGCTGCCAGACCCCAGCCGTGGGCACCCGGGAGCCGCCTGGTTACCCTCAGCCCCGCGCTGGAGCCCGGCTCTGGCGCCCTTCCATCTGCGCCTGGCACTCTGGGCTGAGAGCGCCCCCGCCCCCACCCCCGGCAGCCCTCCAGATGCTTCACGGGGTGACCTGCCCAACAGCACGCCCCCCCCCCCCCCCCAGGTGGCCGATTCTACCCAGGGAGACACACAGGCACATTTTCACCAAGGCCAGAAGGGCACACTGGCCCTGGGGCTGGGGTGGTGGCCTCGGGGGTCATCGGGGGAAGGGGGGGCTCTGCTGTCCAGGGAGGCCACGCCAGTGGTTCAACTCAGGAGGAAGGTCGCTTCCCGCAAACTGCAGGTTTGCACAGTGCACCACGCGGCCCCCTGGCTGTGGGCGGCAGGGGAGGAACGGGCCGGGGGAGGCGAGGAGGCGCGGGGGGTTGGGAAATCCACCTGGACGCCATCAGTCTTGCCAGAGTAAACAAGGCTGACAGGAGTGCTTGCCGGCAGCCTGGTACAGGTTGGGGGGGGTCACGGAAGCGGCCTGGTGACCCGCCTGCCTTGAGGTGGAGACGCTCTGGACTCTGTCACAAAGGACAGAGCTGAAGGCTCGTGCCTCGTAGAATGAACCCGCTTCCTGGCATTCCGCACGACTGGGAGCGCACACACTCTTCCCATGTCTGAAATGTAAATCTGAGCAGGGATCAAATACACACATTCAAAGCCAAACAAACAGAACGATCCGCCCCCACCGACCTCCAAACGGATCCGTAGTCTACGTGGAGCTAGCAATAGAAAAATATACTGTTTTAAAAGCTGTTTCTTGGGTTTTCTTAGAGCTCGAGTGTCTAAGAAAGAATTGCTGGAGTCATAAGGAGAATCTACCACTTAATTATCTAGAATTCTCCAACACAACAGCAGAGCCTAACTTGAGCGAAGGTCTTTTACTCACATCCTATAAGAGACAGAAATCTCTCTGTCCCTCCGAACCCTGCAAACACTCACTTCTTAATGCAAATGTGAAAGTGACCACGGTGGCATATTTAGCATAATTAAGGGGAGACAAATTGTGAGTAAAGGAGTTTGGGCAGCTCCTAATGAATTTTGAATTGAAAGCACCAGCATTACCCACCCCCCACTTCAGCCGAAAGGCACTGAGAGCCTGATACGTGCCTCAAACGTGTCAGAGTGAATGGGGGGTGTGGGGGGAAGCCACCCAGACCCTGAAAGCCACGGCCAAGGTCCTTTAGCTGAAATGACACACAAACAGTTTCTTCTGAAAAAAACCAGTCACCACCTAACCCTGCCTGTGCCCTGCAAGGTGTCCGGCTAATTTGTTTTGTGACCTTGGGCAAGTCACTTCACCAGCCCAGGTCTTCTTTCTTCACCTATAAAACAAAGATAGTAAAACCATGGTGCCTTCGGGGTATCCCTGGCATTAATGAAGTCTCATAAAGCGCTTTGAGATCCTTAGGATGAAAGTCTCTTCAGAACAGTAAAGCCTGATTATTATGCTTCGAACATGACATTCCCATGAAATCCCTGGTCAGGCTCTTACCCCACCTCTCAGTGAAGATTTAATAGCAGAGACTTGTAATAAGTTCGTAAAGGACAGAGACCTCCATTACTGATACAAAATATGCCGCAGCGAACTAGTATATTAAGGGCTATTATCATGAATAATTAAGGCCAGGTTCTACTTACAGATTAATGAACCAAGTATATGTTGTGATGTAGTGGGTTTTCATTGTGGCTTCCTCAACCAGCTAATGTCCTGAAATTTATCTATTCTCAGCGGATCCTCCAAGGCTGCACGGATTATCAGGTTTACCCCACAGCATAGGTTGGCAAAGTAAACTTCTGAAGGATACTTAACAAGAAATAAACCCAATTAGAGGTTTCTTAGTACAGATGAAGAAGGGTCATTAATGATAATGAAGGGCTGACCTACTCTGGGCCCCTAAGTTTGTAATTAATCTTGTACCTTCCAGCTAGAATATGTTGAAGAATATCAAAGTCACGTACATGACTCCAGGCTAACACACATGCACGTGGAAAGGAGAATGCAGGCTCATGCACAGACATTTTGGCTGATCTTGGACGAGGCAATGTTACCCCTGATGATGCATTTGCTTCAGAAGGTGGAGTCATAATTAGGTCAAATAAAAGCCTTTAGATAACTCACTGGGTTTGAATATAAAACTCTGTAATTTCTGGGGCGCCCAGGTGGCTCAGTCGGTTAAGCATCTGACTTGGGCTCAGGTCACGATCTCGCGGTTCGTGGGTTCGAGCCTTGTGTCGGGCTCTGTGCTGACAGCTCAGAGCCTGGAGCCTGCTTCTGATTCTGTGTCTCCTTCTTTCTCTGCCCCTCCCCTGCTCACTCTCTCTGTCTCTCTCACAAAATTAACAAACATTAAAAAAAATCCATAATTTCTGAAATAAACAGCATTAAGGAAGAAATGTCCAGGATAAGGGACAGAGTGTGGATTTTAAAAGACAGGGCAAAGAGGAATGACAGACAGTAATGTGAGTGTACTGATCCGCAGAACGACTTAGGCTACAACTATCCCAAGCAGAATTTAAGCAAATATCTAAAGTATTCGTGTGCTCCTTTTCTGTGATTTCCATCTTTTCCTGTGATTTTAAAAATCATGCTGCCATTGGAATTATCCAGTGTAAAGTAATTAGCTGTGCTTGTGACCGCATGTAGCGAGAAAGAAAACGAGATTGCTTTCTGCTGGAGACAAGGGTCACGTTTAGATTTCTGGAATGTTACCTGAGAAGGAAAGGTGCTGGGTTACCAAGAGAGATGTTACAGCGGGGAGCTCTGTCTTTACAACTGGGAGACTCACCTGCACCTCAGCTTGCTGGGCCCAGGACTGAGAAACATAGTTAACACCATTCAGAACCATTAGACTTCTAGATAAGCAGGATACACTAACTTTCAAGGGACTCTGGAATTCTTTCCCTGACTCGAAGCCAAATTTCCAAACATGCTGGGCAGCGGTATGCCTCGATGCCTTTGCTCAGCAAGTACCTCCACCCACTCATCTCCTCCTCTGCCTGGGAGACTCCTACTCATCCTTCAAGATGCAGGTCTAAACACCTCTTGCTCTGCCCAAGCCTTCCTTGCTGTGTTTGCACGTAGAAGTATATGCTTCCCTCTCGACCCCCCACACTCCGCTCACACCAAGATGGCTGCATCTTGATCACCTCTGCTGTGAATCTAGAACAGCAGTGACAAGACAGAGTGCCTGGTGCCCAAGACAAGTCCACTGATTCTAAATGCCAATGTCGACAAACCAACATGTCACAGGCTCTGACCCAATCAGTAAATTCTGGCTGGAATCCGTTGTTAGGGCTGTTCTGGAATGCAGGCCTCCACAGCCTGCCTAACAGACACGGAATGTTTATTAAAATAAATTCAGCTGCAGCCAGAGTTACAAAGCAGGGCTTTTATGGCACCAGGGCTGGGTATCGCCATCTTCCCACCTGTAAAATGGGAGAGTAATATCTTCTCCAAGATGCTGTTATAAATCCAAGACGAGAAATCAAACGAGAGAGTGCTTCATGCCTAATATGGGTTGATTGGTTCCGAATGTGTCTGTGGTTAAGTCTCCAAGTATTAAAAGCTCTAGAAAAGTGGCCCTGAACTCATTGTTTCAAAAGAGATCATTATCTTCCTAGTCATGAGGGATCCTCTGGGGAGTCTGGCCTGGACCACTTTCAGAGGTGGTCAGATTCAAGGGTCTGGGTGAGGTTGGTGGGTCTATGACCGGGTGGCCCAGCCTTAGGTAAAGAAGACCAGTTAATTTGGAGCTAAGCAGAGCCTGGTGGGGGTGCCTGGGTGGCTCAGTCGCTTAGGCTTCCAACTTCAGCTCAGGTCAGGATCTTACCTCTGGTGAGTTCAAGCCCCACGTCGGGCTCTGTGCTGACAGCTCAGAGCCTTGGAGCTGCTTTGGATTCTGTGTCTCCCTCTCTCTCCGCTCCTCATCCCACTCACGTTCTGTCTCTGTCTCTCAAAAATAAATAAACGTTAAAAAAAAAAGTTTAAGCAGTGCCTGCCAGAAAACACTCTGGGTCCGAGCTCTCCAGCCGTTTCACTTTCCCAAGAGCAGCAGATCTCAAAATTTGCTGCACATTAGAATCACCTGGGGAGCATTAAAAACTGCTATCCAGGCTGTGCCCAGGGTCTCTAGGGGTGGGACCCAGATATGGTGTTTTCCAAATCCCCCTTGGAGGATTCCAACGGGCAGCCAAGGTGGAGAACCGAGGTACACTGACAAACACATGTCCCGTTTGGAGATTTTCCACTTTGAGAAAACGAACGTGCCACTCAAGCCAGATGAAACTCAGCTGCGAGCTGGCTTTGGCCCACGGGATACTGGTTTACAAACCTGCGCCTGTGCTAACACTGCCTGGGAGGCCACGGAAGGTTCTAGGAATAGGTGGGAGCCCGGCGCAGGAAGCCACCAGCTGTGTACTTCCCACAGATTTCCCCTACGTTCCCCTCTCTTTCTCCCCAAGCGGTGTCTCCCCAGATGCTACTGCTAATTGGCTTTTATTTATTTTACATGCATTTACATTTCAGGCGCCTAGAAAATGTATTTTAAAAAGTGCATGCCTGTGGGAGTTCAATTTGATCTTGGCAGAAAACGTCTTCCCTCTGATGCCTGCTGACACGGCGCTCGCGGAAGCCAGTGTACGGGTCCCTCTGTTTCAGGGGAAGGAAGCGGGTCAGGCCGGCGGTCTGTTCTTTCAGCAGAATGGTTAGTGTCTGCAGGACAGAGTCCTTTCCAGGACCAGCCCGGCCACGTGGGGCGTGTGTTTCCTGGAAGATGACTGATCGGGCCACACTTGAGGAGCCCGGTGGCACTGGCATCCTGACGCCCTAGGTCCAAGCTCCACTGCGTTCCTTTACGTTCTCCGGGCTCAGAAGTCGTTGACTACACCGGGTGTGGCCTCGACAAGGCTCAACGAGTCCCATCATGTTTTCCTCGTCCCCACCCGTAATTAGTAAGTACTTCCCTTACTACACCGAGGCCCCAGCGGCCGGGACACAGCTCTTCCCGGGAGGCTCTGCCCCCTTCCCCTCTTCCATTCCTTCTGCGGGTCTCCACAGACACCGCAGAGTGAACGCACGGCATTAGCTTCCCTGCGTAATGTCTGAATCTCCTTCCAGAACCGTCCCCACTTTGCACGGAGCTGCTATTCCTCTATCAGCTTGGCGACTTCATGTCTTTCACAAATGAACTGGCTCAGATCGAGGGCTGTAAAGAAAAACAAACACCACTTCACCGTCATGTTAACTGCATAAGGATAAACCAGCACACGCGGGGAATGAGAAGGGATGAATGATGGCCTCACCCTAGACCGTATTTATATACGCAGACGACCCGCAGCAGACGGGGTTCCATGGGAGGAGATGAAGACGGCACGCGGTTATATTTTCGGTGTCACCGAACGTTTTTTGAGCATCTGTCCTGTGTCCGTCCCTATGTTAGAATGGGGCGGGGGGGGGGGGCAGGGGACAAAGATGAACAAGGAAGTCCCTGCCCTCAGGGGGGCTCCCTGCAGAGAGGGGTGATCTGAGCGCTCAAGCATGCCCAGTGCTCTCACACAGGGGTGTACAGACGCTCCTCCAGAAGGAAGTGACTAACTCTGCCCGGGGGCGCAGAAGCTGGGACGTCAGGGCTGGGTCTCCAAGGCACGCCCTTTCCCAGCATGAGCCTGACTCCACGTTGGGGACAATGTCTGCCCTCAAGGGAAAGCCGGAGTTGGGCCCCAAGCCTGGCTTCCCAGCTCCTGTCTCCCAGATGCCTTCACTGGGGTGTGCAGGGCAGACAGAGCCTTTATGGGCCAGTCCCTCCCTCTCCCATCACCCATCCCCTCACCCGCCACTTGGGGTACCAAGAACCCCAGGGAAGAGGGAGGGCATTGGGGGCCGATGACTCACAAAAGGCAGAAGGTGAGGAAAGCTGGGAATGAGAGCTGGTATGTGGTGCGCCCAGGTGTGTGCGTGTGGGGGAGACCCAGATTGGGGTCTTTTATCACTGGAATTGTTGGGAATGGCTGCTGCATGGAGATGATCAAAAATAGATAGACTTTGTGTCAACTGCACTTCAAAAACAAACAAATGAGCAGACAGATCTAGTTCTGTTAGTGTTTTAAATTTCTCTAGCGACAACGTGCTCCCGGATTCCATGCACTCCACGTGGGCTCCTCCCAGGCCCCCGGCCCCACTGGTTCCTGAATAAAATAACTTCTCCAAAATTTGGAAAAAACCTGAAAATTCAAGAGCACTGCCCATGCCTCGGGATTGCAAACAGGCTCTGGCTCTTGACGTGCCTGGCATGTCACAGCTGGCAGCAGGGACCCGGGACGTGACTTGCAAGTCCTGAACTCCCTGAGGATAAGGTGCTATGAGGACCCATCTTGCCAGCAGCCCCGTGGCTGCCCCCTCCTCCACCTTGCTCTCCAGATGTGAGCCCACGGGCCAAGGGGATTGGGGAGCACCGAAGGCGACCTAGGGGATCCAAGGAACCCCGCCTCTCCAGGGTCAGGAGGGGATGGATGGGAGATGAGGCAAGACATGTCTAGGATTACTCCGTCCCTCTCTGGAATAGAAATCAGAGCCTGGTGAGGAGGTAAAGGAAGTTTCCCAAATGACAATGCCAAGAAGTTTGTTTGGACCCCAAAGTATAAACTTTGTTTTTTTTCAATATTAAAAAATTTTTTTTAATGTTTATTTTTGAGAGAGAGAGAGAGAGAGAGAGAGAGAGAGAGAGAGAGAATTAAAGCAGGCTCCAGGCTCTGAGCTATCAGCACAGAGCCCGATGCGGGGCTTGAACTCACAAACCATGAGATCATGACCTGAGCCCAAGCTGGACACTCAACCAACTGAACCACTCAGGTGCCCCTTTTTAAGACTGGTAAAAAGTCTTATAAAGACTTTACAGGCAGAATGTTGAGATCTGAGTATTGAGAGCTTTGGGCAAGTCACCTAACCTGCATGCCTCAGGGTTTCCTTCCAGCAAGGAGATCATCACAGCACCTGGCGGATTGCATTGCTGTGAGGATTAAATGAGTTAATACATGGAAAACACTTGGCTGGGAGCCTGGCAAGGAGCAAGTGTTGAATAACGGTAACTATTCTTGCTAGTGAAAATGACAGCCACTAAGGTGTTCAGGTCCGATGTCCTTACCTTCCCAGTGATCTGGGGTCTCTGAGTTCTCTCCCGGAGAAAATATTTAGGGAAATAAAAATTTCTCTAAGAACACAGGATACTCTTCAAGAAGTAGCTTCTCCTTGAAGCTAGGAAGTCTCCCCAGGAGCAGAGCACCTCTGGTTAGCGGATCCTGTGCTCTTACGGCAGGAACACAGCAGAAAGAGAGGGGCCCCTGAGGCCCCTCTGCTGCCTCCTCCAGTGAGCACATCGCTCCTGGTTTCCATTTCCTGTACATCAGAGTGTCATCGCAGAGAGCAGAGTGTCCCCCTCAATTTTACATTACATTCCTTTAAAAAGTGAAAATTGTTTCCTTATTATGAAAGCACTGCATAGCACTTGCAGAAAAAACAGCTTGAAAGAAAAAACCCATCTTATTCTCATCACCCAGACACCTTCTAGAACACCAGGTGTACAGCTTTCTGGATCTTTCACATCACACAGCTTAAAGAAAAAACCTTGGCTCGGTATATATATGTTTGTAACCTGCGTTTTCCATTTGACAGTATATCGTGAGCATCTTTCCGTGGCAGTAAATATTAATTCTACATCATTTTTAAATGGCTGAATAGCATTTCATTTGATAGCTGGACAATCTTTTGATAGAACTCTTACTGTTTCACATACAGCTCCTTTCTGATTTTTGAAATCTTTTTTAAATGTTTATACATTTTTTGAGAGAGAGGGAGAGAGAGAAACAGAGTATGAGCAGGGAAGGGACAGAAAGAGAGGGAGACACAGAATCTGAAGCAGGCTCCAGGCTCTGAGCTGTCAGCACAGAGCCTGACGCGGGGCTCGAACCCTCGAACTGCGAGATCATGGCCTGAGCTGAAGTTGGACGCTTAACCGACTGAACCGCCCAGGTGCCCCTGGTTACATTTAAAAATTGAGATCTACTTCATATACCATATAACCCACCATTTTAAAATGTAGAATTCAGTGGGTTTTAGTATCTTTACAAGGTCATGCAACTATCATGGTGGTCTAATTTCTAAACGTTTTCATCCCCACCCTGCTAGAGAAACCCCGTACCCATTACCATCCCTCTGCCTTCCTCCTTATCCCAACCCTTGAAAACCGCTAACCTGCTTTTTGTCTCTATGGATTTGCCTGTCTGTGGATATTTCATAGAAATGAAACTGTACACTACATGGCCTTTTGCATCTGGCTCCTTTCACTTAGCATAATGTTCCCAAGGTTCATCTGTGTTATAAGATGAATCAGTATTGTGTTCCTTTTTTTGTATGGTTTTCATCGTACAGATAGAGATTTTCTTTATCCGTTCATCAGCTATTGTAATTTTATAATAGGCATTCTAGAACCCTGGTGGTTGTTAGAGTCCTGAGGCATTTGGCATCACCTGGGAACTTGTTCAAAATGCCAATATTCAGGTCTCACCCAGACCCGCTGAATTATAAGCCCTTGGAGGTGGGGTTTAGCAAACAGTTTTAACAAGTTTTTCAGGTGACTCTGATGCCTACTTGTTTGAGAAGCACTAGTATACCTTATTATGCTTCTTCTTGAACAACTTTTTTGGCTTTTCTGGGTGTATTAATTCCTTTGGCCAAAGTCTAGTGTTTTGGAACATATATCCAGGTTCAACTTTCATAAGCTGTTAAAGTTCCAAAATCCTTCATCTATACTTCTTTCACTTCTTTCACTGTCAGGGTCAATAGTTATCTGATATTTAAATTTTCCTCTCCCCTGTTTCTCTTGTTTATAAATCCAGTCTTGGGTGTTAGATCCAGATTATTGCTTTTTTTTTTTTTTGAAATGTAGATGGTCTTCAAGAAAAAGATGTTCACGTTTGTATTCAATGGTGTGTTATTTAGAAGTTCATCTATTTTAGCTGGTGTTGGGGGCGCACTGTAATTACTCTGAATTGCTCTAGAGCACAAAAACTACAATTCCCAGCATGCACTGCAGGCAGGGTTCTTTGGTCTTCATTGCCTCACTTGTGGAGACCACATCTCAGGATGTCCAGGATGTGTCACCATTTGCCTGCCCTCCTGCCACGGTGGCCCGTCTCTGTGTAGAGATAGTTAGAGGGTACAGTGGGTTGGGGCAGACGGAGAGAGAGGTCTAGTGGCCTGGCTTTCTGGCAATGATAAGGACGCTACAGATATCTTCATTTCTTTTCTTCTGTTGGTCTCTATTTTGAGAAGTGAAACAAGTTCATTCCACCAGCTAAAAACAACAGTAAGTTTATAAAATTTTTGCTCTGTCCCCCTATGGTTGAGTACCAGTTTCTCCAAGATTCTTTTTCCTGGAGCAAGGGGTGTCTTTGGTTTTTAACAATGAGAATTAAACAAGATACACTCCCCTATGTTTTCATGGGCATGTTAGTGGCAAGCTGAGAGAGACTCGTTGGATATGGCGGCCACACACTTGCTTGAAATAGGGCAGCGCATTCATGTCAGAGCCTGTGTCTCAGGTTCACTTTGGTTTGAAAAATCACATTTGGACGGAAAGGGAAAGAGATAGTACAAAATGAAAAGAAGTCTTTGGACTCCCAGAATTATACTGATGAGAAGCAAGCAAACTTATGCAGCTGCAAACACAGGTCACCTTTGGTGGAAAAGGAAGAAAAACTCAGACGTGGAAATAAGAGCTATGAGAATCACTCCTGAGCGGAGATGGGACTGAATCCTGGATGAGGAACTTCCAATATTAGCTCAGCGGGATTTCAGGACTGCTACCAGCCAATGGCTTTGGTGGACTTCCTGTTTTTTTTACCCCCTTTCGAACAGGTGCATGTATGGTGGTTACTCTGTGCCTGTCCTGTCGTCATATGTTGCTGGGGGGGGGGGGGTAGTTGGTGCAGATAACTTGCATCTTGAGTTCACAGTGAGAGGAAGGATACTCAAGGAGCTACACTCAAAGAGCTATACCCAAGGAGCTTCATCTGCCCCCGAACTTGATTCAGATAATGAGATTCTGGGCTTTGAGCTGATGCTCAAATGAGTGAGAATTTTGGTGGCCTCAGAAGAAGATGCCTGACTTTTTACATATGGGAAGGATGTAAATAAGTTCTGGTTTGGAGGTGACCTTTGATGGTTTTAAAACTATATCCACAAATTCTCTGATTCTTCTCCTTCAAGAGGTGGACCTTAATTTCCCTTCCCTTGAGTACAGGCTGGACTTAACGACTTGTTTCTGATGAGCAGATATGGTAGGAAGGAAGGATGCTGTGGGACTTCTGAGACTAGGTGAGAAAAAACACTGAGGCTCTTCCCTCCACTTCTTCCCACCGGCTCTGGAGGATGCCAGCTGCCATATTGTGAGGACACACAAGCAGTTCCTATGGAGAGATTCACATGCCGAGGGACTTAGGCCTCCTCCCCACAGGCATGAGTCATACTGGACGTGGATCCTATGGACTTAGATAAGTCTTCAGGTGACGGCAGCCCCTGCCACCAGCTTGCTGCAACTTCCTGAGAGAATCTGAGTAGGACCGCCTGGCTAAATTGTTCCTCGATTCCTGATCCGCAAAAGCTCTGAGATCATAAATGTTTGCTCTTTAAAACCAGTAAGTTTTTTTTGGGGGGGTGGAGGTGTAAATTGTTACACAGCAACAGATACCTAATACACAGATACACTGTCATTGTAGCAGAGTTTGATTCCTGATACCTTTTAATTCTTGACATGGAACGAAGGATCCAGACCAAGATCTCTCCAGAGACAGTACATGTAGCAGAGAGAGGTCCTACCTGTGTCATAGGCATAAAACTCAATACATCTGTATGAACTGAAAACTTGTGCAGTCAGCACCCAAATCAAGAAATGGTTTACTGTAGCACCCCAGAACCACCTCTCATGGCCCCTTCCAGTCCTTATACTTCTGAGGGAAGTTACTATCTTGACCTCTAACAGCAAAGATGAGTGTTGCCCGTTACTGTACTTACATACATGAACTTATACTCTTTTGCGTCTGTCTGACTTCTTTTACTCAACATTGTGTTAATGAGATATACCCAAATCATTGTCTACAGTTGTGGATTGCTCATTATAATGACCCTGTACTATTCTATTGTGTGAAATCCTACAATGAATTATCCATTCTGTTAGTGATGGGCATCTAGATGGTTTCCAGCCCTTGGCTATTATAAATAGTCCAAGTGTGAACACGTAAAGATAGGTTTTATGATGGATATGTCTAAAGACTGACAAGTAGATAGATGGGCAGATGACTTTCCATACCTTAACTTTTGGATATGCAGAAGAGGAAACCGAAGGTTGTCATAACTGGAATCCATGTTCCCAAAAGCTAATCTGAATCACTTTCTGAATCACAAAAGGGTTCCCATTGGAACTATTCATTCCTGCATATTCACGGCTGCCTACTATGTGTAAAGCTCTTGATAATGCTATATGTCAGTGATTCCTTACTTTAAAAAAAAAATCTCTTGGGGGAGGGCCTGGTCCTATTCTCCAGGAGTTTTCTACATGGCACAGATTAAGGGGATTGGGCAAGGACCCACGTGGCTGTAGGGCAGGGCAGAGCTCCATAAAAGCCACAGAGATACTTTAATGAAGGGAGTCAGGGAGATTAAGGGGGGGCTCTTTGGAGTGTGGGTCTTGGATAATAGACATAATTAGATACTCAGAGTTGGGGATGGGGTGGATGAAAGGACACTTCAGGGGGAGGAAATGGGAGGAGAAGAGTCACAGAAGTTGACATTATTTATAGATCACCCACCTCATTAAAAATGATTTGAAGAATCTCAAGGGTGGGAAACATATCTTCATTCCAGTGCCAGCCTCCTCTCCCCACCCCTTACTTCCCCCCCCCCCCCACTAGCTTTTCAATTGTTAAAATGCATGCAAGGCAATTTTTTTCCTCCTGTAAAGAAACCTCACTTCAGATATAGGTTTCTTTTGAACCAATGCTTGCTATATCAGAGATGGGTAGGTCTGAAACAGACTTGATTTCAGGTAAAAGATGCCAAGCTCATCCGCTCATCCACTGAACATTCCTTGTGTGTCTTAAGTCATTGGCCCAGGCCACCGGAGGATGCAGGTGGGTCAGTGGGGGGCCCAGAGGGGGCAATTCCCAGCCATGCAGCGGCTGTACAATAACTAAGCAGCAAGTTCCTGGAAAGGCCTTGCCGCAGGGAGCTCGCTGAAGCTGATGATATCTGCACGGTGGGGGAGACGTGTTCCAGTTGTTCTCAGCCTGGAAATTCTCCCCTTCACCAAAAAACAAAACAAAAACAGAAAACAAAACCCCTCATGGCTGCAGTGGTGGTCAGAGAGGCAGACTGCGGGAGGGAACGAGCACAAAGATGCGGGGCCCCCGAGAGGCACAGGCGGCGTCTGCGCTGCGTGTACACACCTCACGGCATGTGCGCGGTGTGTGCCGTCGCCAGCGGGGGAGGAGGGCTACCCAGAGCCACGTGAGGTCCGAGCAGCTGCGGGCACAGAGATACAGCCATCTCTACCCATGGGGGACCACAGCGAGGGGGTACCTCCCCACCTACTGTGTTGAACATGGCACGGGATGCGGAAAAGGACACCTGGGCGATGTAAATCTCAGATGAGGACAAAAAAGGGGGTTCAAACGGCCTGCGAGAGACCTTCCCACAGAGAGCTGGGGGCTCAGCATGCAGAAGTGGACGCGGACATTGGAACCCTGATGTTGTGGAGGGCCGCACTGCAGTAACGCGCACACACGCGCCTGACGACGCTTCTGGGGGCCGTGCGAGGCACATTTCAAATGGTGAAGTCAATTCTCATCACGTGCGGGGTCTGGATGAGACCAGCCCAAGAGATAACAAGGCCAAACACAGTAATTCTTTGTCCGTCTTAAAAGTCCTGAAAAAAAGCCTTCTTGGTCTATTTCTGGACAAGGTAGACTCCACCCCAGTGACAGAGTGCATCGTGGGAGTGGTGTGGGCGCAAGGGCTGCTCTGGCCGGACGGTTCGGGTGTTGTCCCTGGGGAATGAGTTTGAGATCTGCCTCAAGACTGGCTCTCAGGGCGCCTGGGTGGCTCAGTCAGTTAAGCGTCCGACTTTGGCTCAGGTCATGATCTCGCAGTTCGTGAGTTCGGGCCCCGCGTCGGGCTCTGTGCTGACAGCCAGCTCAGAGCCTGGAGCCTGTTTCGGATTCTGTGTGTCTCCCTCTCTCTCTGACCCTCCCCTGCTCACGCTCTTTCTCTCTCTCTCGCAGAAATTAAAAAAAAAAAAAAAAAGACTGGCTCTCAAAACACCACTGGGTCCGTGCAAAGTCTCCATGCTGGCAGTTGGCATACCCTAGACCGCGAACTTGGCCACGGTTTTTTTTTCCAAGAAGGAAAAGCCCACCCTCCTCATGTGGAAAAGCACTTTATCTCCCTCCTACCTGGGGTTTTCAAAGTTATCCGCCGAGTCCTATGTCACCCAAGCCCTGTGAGCGCAGGCGTGGTGACCCATCGCACATGCCCTCTGCTCGGAGCGCCCTCAGAAGGAACCTCTTTCCTGGGGGGCAGCTGAAGGGCCTCCTGTCATCGGCGTAGCCAGTTGTCCAGGGCACGAGGGAATGCAGCTCTTCACACTATAGTTAGAGAAGGAAGGGAGGCATGTGTTCATTCCCCCACATTCCCAGTGGGCCTTCCCAGCCCCCACCCCCGCTGTAAGTAAGACAGCTGTGTCTTTAGTTTTTATCAACGGCCTGCAGGGTGCAGATGGGGAGCGGGGGGCAGAGCCGCCGTGGCCTGTCCAGGTCCCACCGACGGCCAGTGTCGTACCCAGGCACACACTGCCCTTGCTCCGGACTCCTTCTCCAAGGTTCTTGATCCTTCTGTGAGCACCTCTGCTCTCCTGTGCCTGGCGCCCCCTCCTCCTGCTCCCCCCAAACCTAACTGAAGACTCCTCCAAGCACTTGGCCTCAAATCTAAAAATAAAGGTAGCGCGGCAGAGTCTAAGCCTCCGGGAAAGCCGTGTCTATGCAGAGAGGCCGGCCCACCCCAGGTCAGCCCCTCGTGGTGGCCGCCATCTCCGAGGGGAAGGTGACAGCGGGTCAGGCGAACGGGCATGTCCACCCCGCCTGACAACAACGGCCGCTGAGCTGGGATACGGGGTTCTGGAACGCGCAGAAGGGCCTAATCCTCTCTCCTGCGGCCTTTTCTCTTGGTATTTCCTGAGGACAGTGCGGGGCCTGCAGGGACTCGCTCTGGGTCTGACTAAGCGCTTTCTCTGGCGAGGAGCAAGCCGCAACGTGGGCCTCACTCCTGGACGGGGGGTAAGATCCGGGGGTGGCCCAGCGAGGAAGAGCGTGGGGGCTGAGGCCTGGGTGCCCCTCGCAGGGCAGAGAACGTGACCGCTGTGCGGCTGTCCGTCCACAGGGGCAGGACCCTGGCCGCAGGGTCCCTGCAGTTTTTCTGGAATGAGTCGAGAATCCTCCCCCAGGCGCCAAAGACAAAGTTTTCCTCCGGGAGCACGTCTTTGTCGTGACACATCGGGTCCAGGGGGACCTCTGGGTGCTGTGACACACGGAGTCGCAAAATCCTTTCATCTGAGCCTTGACTCGGACCTCACACTCGCGTTCGTGGCAATTTACAAAACTGCTGTTGTCTCGTGTGTGCCGAGACACCTGCTGAGCAGCAAGACCCAAGATAAAGGTGCCCTTTTCACTGCTCCATGGTGACAGAGGGACTGGAGCAGAGGGGGCCTTCATGGGTGTGCTGGTGACAGGGAGGGTACAGAGAACCTTCCGGAGAGCTGGGGAATGTCCTAAACCCTGGGCCTGAGTGGTGGCCCTGTGGGGCACGTCATGTGCAAACACTGAAAAGTCACCACGGTGTGTGCTCAAGACGTGTGCCTTTTAGTCGATGTAGGTTGTGCTTTAACGCAAAAGAAAAATTAAACTTTTAAATGCCGTTTTCGTTGCTTTGATAAACCAGTAGTTTGGGAAGGGGGCTCTTAGGTCCCAAAGCGACAAAATGCAGAGCTTCCCTATTTCAAGCCATTTCTGGGATCCCTCCTGCAACGCCTTCTGCGCCCAAGCTCTTACCTCGTAAAACATGACCGACTTTCAAGGGTCAAAGATGATTTTTCTCCCTCTGTCATTCCTGTCCGTGGCAAATGTGGACATGTCATTCGGAATGTAGCGCGGAGGCCCTGATGAAATTGGAAAAGCATGTGGAGATAAAAATCATTCTGCGATGAACCCAGACACTTCCTGCCGCCCTCCAGATGTCACGGGGCTGGGAGCCACCCTCCTGGGGGAAGCGACTCGGCCGGCCGCGGCCAGATGTGCGGGGAGCCGCCTCGGACCCGCGTGCTAACACCATCCCGATTGTGTGCGGCAGATGCTATCGGTCAAGAGTGAAAAACGCAGGCGGGGCGCAGGCCAGGAGTCTTTCAAGCAGGCCCCCCCCCGCCCCCCCCAGCCCCGGTCAGCCGGCCGCACAATGCGCCGATCTGTCCGGTCAGCAGATGCGTGTCACTGCGACGCAGGCCGAGGCTGGTTAAACGGTAACAGGTCAGTGACCTCATGCGCACACTCAGCCCTTCCTGAGCGCCTCACACTGCACTTGTGAGGCCGGGGGACGCCGGTCAGCTTGGTGTCGGGGCTGCCTGGAGTGTCTGGGCTGCAACGGCCTGAGTGGCAGAAAAGCCCTTTCCTGCACCCAGAGGTGCCACTGGCGGACGGGCAGGACTGGCACCCATGGGTGGCCCAGTGCAGACCTCTCACTCCGGGTCATTTTGAGTCCTCTTGACTGCAGGCTGTTTGGGGAAAGATGTCTCATTGCCAAGGCCTCTCTCCCCTGGTCTGACCATTGGGGGGTGGCAGGCTGCCTGTGCCCCCCCTCACGGCCCCCCAGCAAGCCTTCAGGGCTCCCACCAGCCCGGCCGTTTACAGCACACCCTGAATGTGGAGTTTCTCCAAATGTCTACACTCACTGAGAAAGCCTTTGCAAGAATCCTGCTCGCTCTCATGAAAGAGGGTGAATGCGCAGGCTCCCTTCCTCACAGGAGCGCGCGCGCACACACACACACACACACACACACACACACACACATTCATTTCCTCGGGAAGAAACAGGAAGCCACACATGATGTCACTCAGAAAAAGGACAGAAGACAAGGGCAGAGACGCTCTAGAAGAAGCCAGAGGCCTCGTCAGGAAGGCCTCTGTGCAGCCACAGCCCTCGGCTGGCCCGCGGCTGCGAGTGCTATTCTGAAACAGAGGTCATGGCACATCAGCCTCGTGCGCGAACACGGTTGTGCAGATGGAGAAACATTTCTCAACAGTGGTTCCCAACAATTGCTTAGAAACCAGGTCTTGGGGGCACCTGGGGGGCTCAGTCGGTTTAGCGTCCGACTTCCGCTCAGATCATGATCTCACGGTTCGTGGGTTCGAGCCCTGTGTCGGGCTCTGTGCTTACAGCTCAGAGCCTGGAGCCTGTTTCAGATTCTGTGTCTCCCTCTCTCTCTGACCCTCCCCTGCTCACGCTCTCTCTCTCTCTCTCTGAAATAAATAAAAAACATTAAAAAAAAAAAGAAACCAGGTCTGGGAGCGATCTGCCCTCCCTCCCCCCACCCCTCACGGCTTTCCCCTACAGACCTCCCAGCCTCTGAGGAACCCACGGACGGCACAGAGGTGCTCTGTTCCTGGGGCATCCGCGGAGCTCGTGGGCTGTCATTTTTGGCAAAGGCACACACCTGTTCTTCTCTTTCCACCCAGACACCAGGAAAGCCAAAAAGACTTCAATCATCACTGAGCTCATCAAAAAAACTATGCCTTCCTGTCCGCACAAAGCTCTCCCTTTAGGATCGTGGCTCTGGTTGCTTAAACGCTGACCCTCAGGACGGCGAGGCCAGAGGGCGCCCCCTCGGCCACATCACACCCCTTTCCCGCGGGGAAGCGCATGCTGCTGGACTGAGCAAACCCACCTATCTGCCAGTGCCCATTTCGGTACCACGCACTGGAAGCAGTTGCCAAAAAGCTGGCAGAACATCATGCCTGTGGGCCAGGTCCCCTCCCCTCGCAGAGAGAATTCTCCGGGAAAAGCAATGGTCATGATAATACATACCTGTGGCTCATCACCAGTCATTTACTTGGCTTTAGAATTTGTTTTTGTGCTTACGTGGGAATATGGGTCTGCCTAAGGCTGTGGGAATTCACGGCACTTTAGATAAACTCAGTGTCCTTCCCCTTACAGACCTGACTCAGGCGGAAGTGGACGCGGGTTAGTCTGCCTCCTCCCCGCCCCGCTCAGAACCAGACATCAAGAAGACCTCCCAAGGCCAGGTGTCCTGGGCTGCCATTGTGTTCCGGGAGGTGACACAGCTTCCCTGCCCCGCCACCTGCCTCCATGTTCCCAGGTCACCGCCTCCCTCTGACATCCTGTCTCCCCAAAAGCTTCTCACTTAACAGCATGGATTTTAGGGGGGGCACTGATTTTAGGGGGCAAAAAGAGGGGCCTGCCATTTTACCTAGTGCTACACTGGGTATTTCTGCTTATTTGGTGGACATGGTTCAGGTGGTTCATTGTCTTTAGGGAAAAGATCTCGAGAGGCGAATGGCAAGCAGGAAATCATGGGGGAGAGTCAGCACCCGAGAAGAACATCATCCCGAGAATATAAGCGTCCCGAGGGCAGGAGATTTTCCTGTGCCGTTTCTCCAGCACCTAAAACCTGCAACATCACGGAGCGTCAAGAACCATTTGTCAAACGAATGAGGTGAATCGAGGACTTCCCATCTCTAGAAATTCTGCGACATCGTTTTCTTAAAAACCACAAGCCAAAGAGCCCTGGGAAAACTCAAAGCATTAACTCTTGATTTTCTGGGGAAATGGCGAAGAAGGTCTACTTGGGTTTATTTGTTCATTCAGCACAGATTTCTCAGCCCCCAGCCACGTGCCAAGCCCCGGGCCCAGAACGTGTGGGGCCGGAGCTCCAAGGCGGCCGGGAGCCCCCCTACCTTCCCCCGCCCCGCACTGGCCGACAGATGGGGCCTGGTGATCCCGCGCCGCGGGCTGAGTGCTCCCCAGTGCTGGAGATGGGCTCGGGAGCCAGGGAGGGAGTGACTAACTTCTCACTTTGCCCGGGGGCCTTGGGGAAGGCTGGGACTTGAAGCCTCAACAGGAGTTCACATGCCTGGCGAGGGGCAGAGGGGGAGGGAAGGAGTCCAAATTCTCGTCTTGGACCGTAGCTCCATCAGATTACACGTTTAGCAGGGCTGCTGAGAAGGAGCCAAATGGACAAGCAAACGTTGGCTCTTCTTCCCTTTTCTCTCTTCTCAGGAGAGAGATGCTAATGAACAACGGTGGCCAAGAGGCAGGTGACACAGGGAGCGTGGGCCGCCTGGAGAGCCAGCCCCGCGGAGTCACACGGCCCTGGCCGTGTCCGGTGTTGGCCACGCAGACGGAGGCCGGGGGGCCGCATGGCTTCCCCGCCAGGCCGAGCCCTCGGGGGTCCCGCCGCGCCTGCACCTGCCTGTCACCTTGCAGGCCGCCAGGGGCTGCTTCATCTGGACGACGGACGACAGGACAGACAGACAGACAGTGCTGAGACAAAGGGCGCTCTTAAGAGACTGAGCGCTCCTGAAACCATGCTGCCCGTTAATTGCCGGGGAGGGAAGGTGCCAAGGTATCTTAATTCAAATCTTACCTCACCGTCCCAGGGACCTTTTGTTGCTCTAAGTAAGGATGGTCCTCGGTTCCAAGAAGAAAATTAAAGGCTGCTCCCAAGATGAGCACAGTCATTTGGATGAAAGAAAACACACGGTTGCATTTAGAGATCAGATCTCAACAAGACAGGGCACCACCTCCCGCCCAGGGAGGCTCGGGCCACAGGAGGCAAAACTGGAATTCGGGCGAGAATCCTCTGCCCTTATTACAGCGCCGCGCGCCCGGGGTCTGGACACACGTTTCAGCCGCTAATTAGTTCTTGCAGCTACTGCCGTGGGTGCATCCGATACGCGCCCATTTTCCTGATGGGAACACTGACAAGGACACAGACAGGAAAGGTGTTCTTGGAGGGACATGAGAGTAGGTCCGCTTAGCCGGGTTTGCCCAGGGAGAACTGGGCCTTGTCGCTTTGGCCTCGGGGCGCCGTGTGCTGCGAGCTCAGAGGCTCTGCCCTCCTGTGTCTGGACCCATCATCTGTCCCCACATTTGGAATAAAAGTGGCAAAGGCTTATTCTGGAAGCTAGATGCTCAGGGGAGGGCTGCTTGTGAAGGGGAAGGGCATGCCTTCCGGAGCCGGCTTCCGTGGGCTTTGCTTTTTCTTCTTTTTTCCTAGCTTTTTTTAAAACTCAGCCTCTGGCACTTACCAGTGATGTGACTTTGCTAAGTTGCTCCAGTAAGGAATGAGGCCCCGGTTTCTTCAGCTGGAACACAGCCTTGGTGGCAACAATCATTCTCTTCTCACAGGATCCACGAGCCTTCACCGAGTGTTTGTGGAGGCTTGAAACAGCACCTGAGCCACAGAAGAAGTTAAGCACTGGGGTGACGCGAACGGAATTACCGACACTCGAGACCCCGGGTCTACGAGGGCCCCAGCTCCATGCCGCGCCTCGTTCTGATCTGTTTAATAACAGAGAACGGGTTTTATTTAAATATCATTTACGAAACTACTAGATTTCTAGTATTTTTGCATCTTACTGGTATTCTATGAGTTGTTGCCGCCTTATTACTATATTTATAATATTGTCATATGCTTGTTTTTTGTTTGTTCACTTATTCAAATACATTTTAAATTAAAAAAATTTTTTTGATGTTTATTTACTTTCTGAGAGAGAGAGACACAGACAGACAGAGTATGAGCCGGGGAGGGACAGAGAGAGAGGGAGACAGAGAATCCGAAGCAGGTTCCAGGCTCTGAGTCGTCAGCGTAGAGCCCAACGCGGGGCTCAAACCCCCCAACCGTGAGATCATGACGGGAGCCGAAGTCGGATGTTCAACTGACTAAGCCCCCCAGGCGCCCCCAAATACACTTTAAAAGCAGTTTGTAATACCTTCCCCATTTTTTAATGAAAAGTGATGCGTCACAGGACGGCGTTGGGAATCACGTACCTGAACCGACAAGCAAGGCTGCAAGGTAGGAAATGAAGGGATCAAGGTGCCTACATTCCAGGTCAGAGAACCATGGCCTGGGGCTGCTGGGGGAAACACTTTGGCTGGAAGTGTGGGCATCACCCCCGCTTCCCCCAGCCACACCCACCCAACAATGGCTATAGAGAGGCCAGGCCAGGTCTGCCCGGGGAGCGGGGGAGGGAGGGCCTTCTGTCTTTGAAGCCAGGGGAAGGAGGTTCAGGGGAGATCTTCATCACATTGGCGGGGTGAGGGTCCGGCGCACTCCTGGCTCACGCGGGGACCAATGAGTGCCTTGACCCAGCCTGCCACCGCGGTGCCCAGGGCACCCAGAAGCAGCGCTGGGGTGAGCTGCATGTTGGGAGCTGTGGGTAGACGTCGGGACGGACGCACCTCCCCAGCCGCGGGCCCCGACCTGGAGTTTCTGTCCTAGCTGGGACAGGCTTCTGCATGTGCCCACGGGTCTAAGAGGCGCCCTGCTGAGGGTAGGGTAGGCGTGTTTGGAAGCCAGTGACCCCACTGAGCGGGGCATCAGATGTGCACCAGGCAGGGAGATACAGGCCCGAAGTCTAAAGGGACCGTCGATGGCTGTGGGGGCTGCCCAGAAGGGAGCTGCCCGAAGGCACTCCCTGCCAGCATCAAGTGCGTTATTGCTGGGCAGGAGTAATGTCCCCTCACTGGGCCAAGGAGGACGGTAGCTGTCTCCCCCTCTTCCTCTAGGCCCCGACGCCAGCCTTGTCACAGAAGCCGGAATGAGAAGGAAGGACGAGGAGAGAGACCAGCAGAGCGGCAAGTGGACAAAACCACGGGCCTCGCAGAAGGAGGGGAACGCTGGGCTGGGTATAATAATAGCCAACCTTACATAACGTTTCCTTGGTGAGCCTGGCACTCTTCGGGTGCTTTAATTGTAAGTACTCCTTCCAGTGAGGCAGGTACCGTCATTATCCCCATTTAACAGATGAGGAAACTAGGGGCACAGAGAGGTTAAGAAACTTGCCCAAGGCTCTCAGCTCATTAAGTGCAGAGCTGGATTCAACCCCGGCAGCTGCCTCCAGACTCTGCAGTTTTTCACTGAGCAACACAGAATCTTAAAAAAAAAGAAGAAAAAGAAAAAAGACTGTGAGAAGCAATAACAACAACAAAAGAAGATGAACCAAAAAAATAGCCAAGAAGTTACAGAACCAGAGTGACACAGCAGCACGGAGGCTGCTACCCAACAGGAAAGGAGGGGCTGACAGAACATGCCTAGTGGCGAGCTTGGGAAAATAAAACAATTCCTTGTTTACTCACCCCCGTGAGTTGAGATTCCCTGATAAACTGCCTTCCCACCGCCTTCTCTGTGCCTTCCTGCAGGCCTGTGAGGCCGGCACTGCCAGTATATTCGCATTTTACAGACAGGAAGACCACAGGTCAGGGGGTTAAATGAGCTCCCAGGGTCACCCGGCTACAAGGTGGGGGTTTGAAATTAGTTCTTATTAGCTTTAGGACCTGAGCTTTGGGGAGCCTGGGGGGCTCAGTCGGCTGAGTGTCTGACTTCTGATTTCGGCTCAGGTCATGATCCCAGGGTCGTAGGGCTCTGAGCACAGAGCCTGCCTGGGATGCTCTCTCTCCCTCTCTCTCTCTCTTCCCCTCTCCCTGACTCGTGCGCTCTCTCTTTCTCTCTCTCTCAAACTTGAACCACACCAAACCTGGACTTTGAACATCCTGGTGCTGTGGAGGGTGCCGGCGTGAAGCCCAAGTGGATTCTGCCATGTTTCTGGTCTGGTCACGTGGGGGAGAAAGCACATGGCGGTGGTGAGACGGTCACAGGGCGCATTCGGCTGGGCTGAGGGAAAAGGAACTCAAAGGCACACCTCCCCAGAGGACTGGGAAATCAGTGCAGGACAAGGCCAGTGACGGCTGTCATGTCGAGCCCTTTACACCAGATACACAGGGAGCTCCGTATGGACTCGCACTACCCTGAGGACACAGGGAGGCCCACTCCAGCCTGTGCGTGACAACCCAAGGCTCCGGGGTGTGCCCGAGGCCACACAGCCAGAGGCAGGCCCAGGTGGGAGCCAGGCCACTGCAGTGTCCCTGACATCCACAGCGACCAGAGGCAGAGACACTGTCATTCCCACCGAATGGAGAGGGCAGCGCCGGGCTCTCTCTGGAGCTCAGACCTGCACGTGCAATGGCCCACTGGACACCCTCCACCAGGTTCCCCCGGGCGCCCCCGCCCACCACAACGGGATGCGTCACCCCGTCTTCCTCCCGAGCTACCCCCATTTTCCCATCTGCTCGTTGATCTAGTCAACCAACGCTCTACTCCCCAGGCTCTGGAGGACTCAGTGAACAGCTCCGCAGCCAGCGATACTTCCCGCCCAGGTGCCTCAGCCACAGACATGGAGACGTTCTGCACCCCCAGCCCCCCAGCCCCCCGCAGCCAATCATTCACGAGTTCTCAAACTGCTCCTACGAGACATCTCTACAAAGCACCCACAGCTCCCCGGCCACAGTCAGCCCTCCCTCCCCGGGCTCTTTCCACTGGGTTATACGGCACTCGTTTAGGTTTCTGGGCCATTGTCACAGCACTCTTACCCCCCACCCCCAGGGTTTCACACATCCTGTCCCCTCTGGCAGAACATTCCTCTGACTTCTTCACCTGGCTGAGACCCGTGCGTTAGGCTGATTTCAGCCTCAGTGTCTCCTTCTCAGGAAATCTTCCTGGACCCCGCCCATCAGCTGTTTCATCCCCCGTGGGAGCACCCTGCATACGTTCTATCCCGCGGCCGCGGCGCATTAATGTGTTAACTTACTCAGCACATCTTCTCTGCAAGACCCTGTTTTCCTGCCCCCTGGGGATCCTTAATGAGGGAACGGGCGTATGAATGAAGGGATCAATGAGCGGATGGATGAAGGCCCGGGCTTGTTAAAGATCCATGGCAAACTCAGGAAAGAGGAAGGATCTCTGGGGGCTCAGTGGGGAATCTGGGGGGACAGGCGTGCCAGAGAGAATCCCAAGTAGGGTCCACACTGTCAGCATGGAGCCGGATACAGGGCTTGAACTCACAAACTGTGAGTTGAAATGTAGAGTCAGATGCTTAACAGCGATTAAGTAGGGCTTAATGAGATGCGTATGGCTGCCAAGTTGACAAGGGGTTAATTTCATGTGTCAGGCTGGGTCATGGCGCCCTGGCATTTTTTTGGACATTTTTCTGGATGGTTCTGTGAGGATGTTTCTGGATGAGAATAATGGTTATATCAGTGGGCTTTGAGTAAAACATATTTTTTCTTTTTTGAAAAAATTTTTTTTGTTTTATTTATTTCTGAGAGAGAGCTGAGAGACAGAGAGAGAGGGAGGCAGGCAGTGGGAGCAGGGGAGGGTCAGAGAGAGAGGGAGACACAGAATCCGAAACAGGCTCCAGGCTCTGAGCTGTCAGCACAGAACCTGACGCGGGGCTCAAACCCATGAACCATGAGATCATGACCTGAGCCGAAGTTGGACGCTTAACCCAGGCACCCCGAGTAAAACATATTTTCCTCCATAATGTGGGTGGACCTCATCCAATTATTGAAGGTCTCAAAAGAACAAAGACTAGATTCCTCCGAGCAAGAAGCAATTCTGCCAGCAGATGGACTTTTGGACTTGAACTATAGCATTGGCTCTTCCTTGGGTCTCTAGCCTGCTGGCACATCCAGCAGATGTTGGGCTTATTGGCCTCCATGATTGTGTGGGCCAGTTCCCTAAAAATCTCTCTCTCTCTCTCTCTATATATATATATACACACACACACACACACATATATATACACACACACACACACATATATATGTTATACACATACATACACATCTTTTGTATTTCTGGAGAAACTTGACTTACACAGTTGCCCCTTCAGACTGTGGGACAAGCTGACCCTCTCCTCACCCACATGACCCAGCATTCTCAAGCAGATAAGTGGAGGGGTGTGTGTGGGGAGGGGGCCTTTAGACTTCCTGGATGACTTTCCTGCACAGCATAGTATACAAACACATTTAAACACAAGGAAGTAGGGCCTTTATTTTCACATCCCCCAGTCTGTCCATGTAAATCTCAACAAAATACTTTTGGGAGCCCCCTGTCCATGGGGCCAGCCCTAGTGACCGAGTCCATGCCGCTTCCTGCATCAACAGAAGACGTGCCCTGAGGCTTAGCCCAGGTAGGCCCCTCCCTAAGAGATCACCTGGACCGTCACTGTCAGTTCTCAGATGGGGAAACAGAGGCCCAGATGAGCAGGAGACTTACCCAAGGTCCCAAATCAATTACGTGTAGAGCTAAGTGAACTACATATTAGAAGCAAAACCTTCTTGCCTGGTTCTTACTCTAGGGCAGTTGACATGAATACACCATACTGCTCACCTGTT